TTTTTTTTTTTTAATTTCTAAATTTTTAATGCTTTCAAAGTCTGAAATATGGAGCCAACCTAGCACCCAGATCTTGGTAGTCCAATAAAAAAAGCAGGGCTCCTGAAAGAAATGGATGATTCTAAGACTGGGGCAGCAAATACACAAGGTGAAGTGTCTTCTAGTGTCAGAAAGTAAGAAATTGCTCACACACTCAAAATCATTGATGGGGGCATGTCAAGAGGGCCTAGGAGCCAATTGCAAGAGCTCCCAATGGTCAAAGCTGGAATAACTAAACAAAAATTTTTAATTATAACCCCAAGTATAAAATAAATATCCATGAGTCCATACTGATATAAATAAATGATTAAGTTAATAAATGGGGGAGAAGAGACAAACCTTTCTCACAGAAGAATTTCAAACACAAAATGTAGATGCTTCACTGTAAAACAGGCAGGCATAACTTCCCTTTCCTTAAGTATGGGCAGCAGATAGTGATTTCTTTCCAAAGAATATACGGAAAGAAGAGGGAAAAAGAGTAACTTAACGGTGGAGAAATCTGACAAACACTCCTTCAGTCAGTTATCAAGGTCAACATAAACTGTTTCAAATCACCTTGCTAGTATGTACACTTGATATGTCAAGGAAATGGCACCTTACCTCTGTGATCTTTTTCCCAGAAACCCATAACTCCAGCCAGAAAAACATCAGACAAATCCCAATTGAGGGGCATCCTACAATATACCTGACCGGTACTCCTCAAAGCTGTCCAGGTCATCAAAAACAAGGAAAGTCTAAGAAACTGTCATAGGCAATATTAGCTTAAGGAGATATGACAACTAAATGTAATATAGTATCCTGGATAGGATCCTAGAACAGAAAAAGGATAGTAGGTAAAAACTAAAGAAATTTAATGTATCAGTATTGGCTCATTAATTACAACAAATGTGCCATGCTAATGGAAGATGTTAATAATATGGGAAACTGGGTGTAGAGAATATTGGAACTCTGTACTATGTCTATTTATTATTTTTTTGTTTTTGTTTTTTCAGACAGTCTCACTCTGTTGCCCAGGCTAGAATTCAGTAGTGTCATCATAGTTCATTGCAACCTGGAACTCCAGGGCTCAAGCAATCCTCCTGCCTCAACCTCGTGTGTAGCTGGGACTACAGGCATGAACCACTGCACTGGGCTACTTTTTCTATTTCTTGTAGAGACAGGGGTCTCTCTATATTGCTCAGTCTGGTCTCAAACTCCTGGCCTCAAGTGATCCTTCCACCTCAGCCTCCCAAAGTGCTAGGATTACAGGCATGAACCGGCTTATCTCTGCAATTTTTCTGTAAACCTTAAACTTCAAAAAATAAAAGTTGACCTTTAAAAATCTGAAGTACAAAAGATTTTTTAAAAATTGTTTGCAAAGATAATTCTGCTTAAGCACTTTTTAAAAATAAGGCACCAGGGTGTTGGAGGTTTCAATCCCTTTTTAAAAATGTGACAATTTTGCCCTCCTTATACATAAATCTGATGCTTATATGAACCTGTTTCAGTAGCAGAGTATATAAAAATATTTGGGTTTTGGTTGATGAGCTCGGTGGCAATCTATTTCCTTTGGAAAACTAAAAGCTTGTTCACACGTTTTTCCAACTTGAGAATGAGTTATTTTCCAAAAGTTTACATTTAAGTCAAGTGTTTGAAACTTGAAATACATTTTCCCACAGAAATGTTATTATAAATAGTGGTGAATTCCCAGGCTAGGGCAGTGAAGCTGATTAAGCTCCTAATAAGCAAAAATAGACATTTGTAATGAAAATAGTATAAAACTATATTATGAAAAAATCTTGCTTTTTAAATTCAGAAGATAAATTTAAGCCTGCAGTTTAGGTTTATTTCAAATCTATCACCCATGGTGTTTGAGCCAGGGACTACTTTTGAGCCTCTTTGCAAATAACCTTAAACTAGAAATGCTGCAATGCAAATGGGGAGGGGGAGAGTGGAAGTTGTTAAACTGGGGTGGGTGGGAGATAAACGGACCTTGTAACAGTTTTGAGAAGGCAGGTATGTTATTTTAACCCAGATGGAGGGCTTTCTACTCATATTTCTAGAAGTACAATGAAGCTAGTACCCCACAGGATAGAGGAAGGGATGGAGAAGGAAACTTTGGTTTCCCATAATTCAAGAATTGTTAATGTGCATGTTTCCAGAGATGGGTAACAGAGATGTCTGTGGGCAGTTGGTATGTACAAATCGTCAGTCAGCTAACTCATCAAGCTGGTGGGAACCTGAGTGCACAGGCAGCAGACCTGGGCTCCTCACAGCAGTGTGCTACCTAGTGGAAACAAAATAAGAAAGTGGATTCACATAGGAGACTTGTGGAAATGTTGACAGGGTGTGATAAGGACATAAATTTCCAATATAGGGCATCAGAATGTCTTGATCTATTTCTAGACCACCTATTCTACTCCAGTGACCTATTTACTTTTTCTTTAACCAATGCCACACAGTGGTATGACTTTATAAAATATTTTAACAACAGGTTTATAAATTTAAATTCAACAGAGATCATCTAACACAATAATTTGTGCTAACAGGTTAACTCAGTTGTATAGAACTCATAATAAAACTTATCTTTCCAACTCTGTGCATGTGTTTGAACTTTCTACAACTATTAATAGCAGAAACAATTGAATGGTAGGCTAATACTGTCTAAGGGAACAATGGTCGATCTTAACCTGATTCCAAATGTTTGGGAAAAGAAGCATGACTCATCTCACTGGTGGCCTTTATAGTAAGTGAATGTTATAAAACTGAATTTGTAAAGTTATCCTAACCAAATACTACTTTTCTGATTTATATATAGTTTATATATAGGACTCTATATAAGATTTGTTTATAAAATGGGTTCCACTACCAATAAATTTTAAAACTATCATTCTAATACTTAAACTTTTGCTGCCTTCAACATCATTCGACTATTTTTTATTGAGATATAATTCACATACCACAAGGTACACCCTTTAAAATGTTCAATTCAGTCACTTTTAGTACATTCACAAAGTTGTGCATCAATCACCACTAATTCCTGTTTATCTGATTTTTTATTATTTAAAAAAATGGAAAAACAAAAGTATAATTTTCATTCAATAAATACCACTTGATCCTCATGCAGTTTTGTTGCAGAAAGTGAAACCCATGATTTTAGAATAATGACAGCAATTTAATAATCAGTTTTCACACAGTTTCAATAATTGCAGCAATTTCCTTGAATTGTCTGTAGAAATTCTGGAGAGAAAGGGAAAAAATAATATTAATTTTGCTTTTAGAGGATATTTAAGTAGCTCTTTTAATTACATCTGACTATCAGAGGCTATACAACATATTAAGTTTACATTTTAATGTTATCTTCTCAACTTCTGAAGGTTGCTAAAGATACAAACAGGTACACTTTTATTATTGTAGAGGTGGATAATTAGCTCATGACCAAACTTTTTAAAAAGCACACAAGAAAGTTCTTTTAAGATCACACAAGAAAGATTTATTAAATACCCAGCACTATCCTAAACACTGAAGATAAAAAACAAGAAAAACAGGTGGTTCCGGCCTCAAAACACTTTAAATCTAGTGAAACACTGCATTTCAGGGTGCTAGGGGCTGTCTTGTTTAAGTTTATGGGTTTGATTACAGTAAGAGAGACTCAACATTGACAATGGCTTGTATGGGAGAAGCTTTTCCGTCATTTAAAAACTAAGCTAGGATAGTGGTTCTCCTGTAGAAGTCATCTTCTTTTTTTAAATCTCAGGTAAGAAAGGGATCAAACAGATTCTGTTTTCCTTTCTTCTCCTGTACTGCCACAAAGCTAAGAGGCAAATTTGAAACTTAACCCCAGCAATTAGGATATCCTCTAATGATTTACATATTTCTATTTTCCTTTTTATTTGGTCTTAATTTTTTATTTTGCTACTTACGAATTTTCTTTAAATTTACATGCAAACTTGTCATGGAATGAAGCATGGTGTAACTATTTCATTAAAAATATATATTGATGGTCAGAATTTTAGCTATCAAAAAGATCTGCTTGGCCGGGCACAGTGGCTCACGCCTGTAATCCTAGCACTCTGGGAGGCCGAGGTAGGTGGATCGCTCAAGGTCAGGAGTTAGAGACCAGCCTGAGTGAGAGCAAGACCCCGTCTCTACTAAAAATAGAAAGAAATTAATCGGACAACTAAAAATATATAGAAAAAAAAATTAGCCAGGCATGGTGGCGCATGCCTGTAGTCCCAGCTACTCGGGAGGCTGAGGCAGAAGGATTGCTTGAGCCCAGGAGTTTGAGGTTGCTGTGAGCTAGGCTGACGCCACGGCACTCTAGCCCGGGCAACAGAGCAAGACTCTGTCTCAAAAAAAAAAAAAAAAAAAATCTGCTTAACATAGAGGCTCACACCTGGTATCCCACACTTTGAGAGGCCAAAGTGGGAGGATCATTTGAGGCCAGGAGTTGGAGACCAGCCTGGGCAAGATAGCAAAATCTAGTCTCTACAAAAAGTAAAAAAATTAGCTGGTGTGCTAGTGGGTGCCTGTAGTCCTAGCTAATTGGGAAGATGAAGCAGGAGGATTGCTTGAACCCAGCAGTTCAAGGTTTCAGTGAGCTATGATCACACCACTTCTCTCCAGCCTGGGCAACAGAAGGAGATGCTGTCTCTTAAAAAAAAAAAAAAAAGGAACAAACTGTTGGTTATAAAATGAGGAAGTCTGAGGATCTAATGTATAGTATGGTGACTATAGTTAATAATATTGTATTATTTGAAATTTGCTAGGGGCCTAGATTTAAAGTGTTCTCACCATACAGACACACCCCAATTAAAAACAAAGGGGTAACTGTGTGGTGATGAATGTTAATTAGCTTGATTGTGGTAATCATTACATAATGCATATGTTCATCAAACCATCAAGCTGTATACCTTTAAAATATACAATTTTTATTTGTAAATTATAACTCAATAAAGCTGGGGGGGTGGGAAGTTGCTCCATTTGTGATTTGTTTCCTATGGAAAAAAAAATTCCTAAAGGTGGAATCAGAGAGCATGAATGCTACACAGAGAAATAAGAATTAGGCCAGCTCTGTGAATTCCACAAAAAGGATTGAAATTGATTTGGTCTTACATTTAGTTGAAGGCTACTCCCATATCACAATATACTACATTTATTTCCTTTTTACTAAATCCCAATTCTTTCCAAGACACTAATCAACATTAATAATGTTAAATTTGTGACCACTATTTTTGTTTTAAAGCAGGGATATCTATTTTAAAAGAAAGAAATCAAAGGGAAATAAATTCCTTAAAATATAGCTTACAAAAGAAGAAATTAAAAGTATGATAAGTGATGGTATATGAGAGGCTTTTCTTAAAAAGGAAGCCTAGGACCAATATATATCATTAGTTAGTTTTACAAAGAATTCGCTTTTTATTTCCATTTCATTCACTATTGTTGCTTTTCTTTGACTTTTAAAGTACTAACTGCTGTGAAAATTCTTATCCACTCACCAAAAGGATCAAAACAAACGAAACCAAAATTGTACAGGACAGTTAAATTAATGACAAAACATCTCCCAGTATTTTCAAAAGAAAATCTGATTTATTGTCTACCCCCTTTTTTTCTTCCTCGGTTAGAAAAAAGAGATAAGATGATAATATGAGTAACAGAACTCTGAATATAAACTACTAAGTTACTTAAATCTCTAGCTGGTAAAACCAGTCAACAAGTACAGTTGCTATGATCTGCATTTTGTAAACATTATTAGTCAGAAAATTCAGAGTCAACACTACTCAAAGAAAACATTCATTTAGCTTAACATTCTTGAATATTAAGCCTAAAAGAATAAGAATAAAACAGTTAACTGCAAAGTAAACAGCCTGCCAGAGAAGATGAAAATTTCCTATATATACTCACAGAGAAGTACTATTATAGTGATCAAATGGCACCATACACAAATTCAGCACCTTATATTGAAAATAATTTATTAAATTTCCAAAGAAAACAAACTTAGATCTTTTGTGTGTACTACTAATAAATGTAAGGCATGTCAATTTACAAATAAAAGTAAAATTTTCTCTTAAGAAAGATTTTATACATATTTTTATGCATCAACTACAGAAGAATTGACTAAAATTGAATGAGTTGAATCACAAACCTGAAACTGTGGAATTGTCATTTCAAAGGACTTGTTCTTTATTTGGCCTGAATGATCTGCCACTTTTAGCATCACTGCAACATAAGGATACTTAAGAGATCTGCAACTGTTGGAGCTCACAGCCATTCCCAGTTTCCACTGAAAATCTATAAGCTTTAATAAAAGAGCACAAAACAATATAATAGTAGTAACATTGCTTTGGATGCAGATATTTACTCAATTTATCTTCATTTTAATATTGCTAAAGGAATAATAATCAAATGAAAAGGTAATATGGGACTTAATAAACTCTGTTTATACAGAGTTAGAAAACAACACTCTCATAGTTACAAAAGGGAAAAAGCAAAAAATAAGAAAACAAAAAAACTCCACCCAATGTACAATGGAAGTGGAAGGAAGATGTGGCAGTATTAGTTTTCCCTAATAGGCTTAAGTTTTGCTCCTGTACTTCAGGGGACTCCAAATGCTTTGGAGCATTTTTTACTTTACTTTCATGTTCCATATATGCCTTCCCTCATTCCATACCCCAAAAGTAAAATGGAAGATGGATTATATGATGTTCATAGTTGGTTGAGGCATACATGGGAACCATTCCATTTCTTTCCTCAACATAGTCTCCAAGTTAAACCTTATATTAGCATAGTGGCAAGGTATTTTTGGATTTCATCAGTGTTCATGACCCAGGTGATGTGCTATGCAGTATGCATGTATTAAATGCCTCACTGAATCACCATCACATTATAGGTTATTATTTCTATTTTGCAGATGACAAAACTTAATTTCAAAGAGCTTAGGTAATGCACATGTATAAGGTCACATGTTTTTGGAATCAGAATTGAAACCAAAGTCTATTTGACTCCAAAGATTACATGCTTATTGACTACTGGCTTCCTACAATACTTTTTATCTAATTCCTGTCAATGATTGTTCAGTGATGCCATGTCATAATACAGTATTGGGTAAATGCTGCTCTTAATAGTGACTCTAAAACATAAGACTGTGGGTGGAGGAATCTTGTCTGTCTTGTTTCCAAAGTTTAGCCTGGTATATAGCAGGTACTCAAAAAATATTTGCTGATTGACTGATACCTTTTGCTACCAAACTAATACTGTCCTGGCAAAAAGCTCTGCTTGTTAATACATTTATTTTTATAAAAGGTGGGATTGATATGGAGACCAAAATTTCCTCCTGTCTCAGACTGGCTCTGGACAAATCTGCTACAACATTAAGGACAAGCTGGTCCTGATAAACGGTTAACATCTTTAATAAATAAGTAAAAAGACTATATAAACTCATTTTAAATGAAAGTTCTTCACACAAAAATGGAGAAGGGATAGTACGCAAGTCAAGAACTACAAATGGCTAATAAACATGAAAAGGTGCTTACATTCATTAAGGAAGAGGGAAATGCAAATTAAAACTACAATGAGATACTACTATCCACCTACCAAAATGGAAAAAATTTAAGTCTCACAATTCCAGGTACTGGCAAGGAAGGATGTGAGGCAAGGAAGGGTCACATGCTGTTGGTGTAAGTCTAAATTGGGCCAATCTTTTGGAAAACTGGCTTTTCATCGTAAAACTAAAGTTATACACACTGTGACCCAGCAATTCTACTGGGGATATAACCCAGAAAAACTTATGCTTATGTACATACATCAGAATACTCCTAGTAGCTTTATTTGTAATAGCCTTAAACTGAAAACACCTCAAATGTTCATCAGTAATAAAATAGATAAGTGAAATGCTATATAGCAATGAATATGAATGAACTTCTGTTACACTTAACACCAAAAATGTTAAAAGAAACAAGTTGAAAAGTTATGTGATTCCATTCACTTAAACTTGAGCAACAGGTGATAAAACTATAAAGAGAAGTAAGAATATGAATAGTATAAAAGGACAAAAGGATAATCACACCTCTAGGGTGGAAGGGGGAGTGACTGGGGAGGGACATGTGGTGGGCTTCAAGGGTATTGGTAATACTCCATTCCTTGACTTTTGATTGTGGTTACACAGGTATTCACTTTTAAATGGTTCATTAAGCTATCCATATTTATGCACTTTTTTGTACATATGCTATCTTGCACATACAGTAGAAAGAGAAAGAAATACAAGTCAGTGAGTACCACATTTCTGGTTGAAAGGAAAAATTTAATGTAGTCAAGGGAGATCAAGGGAAAAAAATTTACAGAGGGGATAAGCTTTAAGCTCTGTTTTAAAGAATAAACAGAACTGGAATTGAGAGGAAAATGTGTCATATTTATATATTCCAAAAATACACACCTAGCAAAGAATAAATGCTTAATAAATATTAAGCTGAACCAACTATAGATGAAAATAGTCATCATTTATTGAGGTATAGAACATATATTTATCTTAAAGTAGGGCTCTTGCAAGGAAAATAGGAAAATAAAGTCGACAAAAGTGATCAAAAAGCCAATACTTCTTTGCAAACTGAGCTTTCTGAGCTTTTCAACATACTCTCATACACTTTATTTTATTAAGGAAAACTTATCACATTAAGTCATTTAAACTTTTCCTAGACAGTGGGGAATTACTGAAAGTTTTCAAGTAAAGAGAATGATATCAAAGTATTGATTAAGATATATTCATCTGGTGGCAGCAGAACACAATAATCCAAGTATGAGGTTATAAGTGCCTGAACCAAGGTGGTGACAAATAGGATGATGCTGATCCTATGAAGGATTCATCACTAGGTCTTAATGATTATCTACATAATCATGAGATACAACTATAGTTGTTTATAGATAACTATAAAAAACTGAGCCTGGATAACTGGGAGAATATTGATATCATGTATCAATCAGGACTTTATATATTTTAAGTCCAAAGGTATCATTAAGAGGTGATGTTAGGGATAACTCAATAGGAATGTTTGATAAATGGCTAAAAATCCAAGAACAGAATTCAAGGGAATTCATGAATAGAGATAGTTTTTATTTCAGTTCAATAGTGATATCCAAAAATTGAACTAGGAACTTCTTAATCTTAGTCAGCCTGTTCAACACCTTGATGGAAGAAGTTCCATTTTTACCATTCACAGTGAAATGTCAGAGTAAAAAACTGGCTATGACTCTTAGGCTCTGAAATAAAACTGGATTACCTAGAACATTTCAAGCAGTAAAGCAATTAAGGAGCACAATGTTGGAATCTATCGACCATTAAAACAGTGAAATTCTGCTAAATTTGACTGGCTTAAAAAAAAAAAACAGTGAAATTGTCAGGTGAGGAAATAAGGAAAGCTGCCATCAAGACACTCATTGTGCAAAATTAGTATTCATGAATAAAGCCAGGATTAGGTGTATGAGATGAGAATTCCCAAAATTCTAAACTCAACATTTAAATGCAAATTAAAAGCGAACCTTCTAATAAATGTGGTTTAACCTTAAATAGAAATTACTGCACAGAAGATTTTTAAAAAGAAAAAAATTAGAACAGAGAGCACACTTACCACTATGGAGAATATTAAGAATGAAACAATGTACATGGTAGCCCTAAAATTCTTACAAAGAAAAAGATTAAAAAAGCAAAATATGCAAAGAAAAAAAAGCTAGTAGTAAAAATGAAATATAAAAATATCCAGAACTAAAATGAATACAAAGGAAAATAATCAGAAAGCAAATTTAGATTAAAAAGGTAAACAAAGAAATTAGCTTTAGTAGTAACACTAAAAATTGATATGAAGGCTAAAGCTATTAGTTATATAAAAACACCACTACAAAAACTGTCTATAAAATTAACATTTCATATATGTTTTTAGTAAGGGAGAGAGGCCCCATTATTTAGTCTTTACTAAGTAATACTATGTTAGGCATTGGGGATGTACTTTGGAACTTACATTCCAGAGGGGAAGACAGACAATAACAAGTATGAATGAAATTGTAGTATTATAAAAAGTGTGAAAAATGCGGGGTAGGGTGACAGAGTGATCAGGAAGACTATTTAGATAGAGCCTGGGGAAAACCTCTTTGAGGAGGTGGCTTTTGAGTAGAAAGACATCGGAATAAAGTGAAGGAAAAAGCCACAGGCTATCTGGAGAAAAGAGAATTCTGGATGGAGGGAGAAGCATGCCTAGCATGTTCAGAGAACATGTGGCTGGAAGAGCATGAGCTAGGAAGAGTGGTAAGAGATGAGGAATCCAGTTTTGAAAAGCCCTGTAGGCCAAGGTAAATATTGAAGACTTTTTTCTAGTGTGATGGGAATTCCTTAAAAAACTTTGAACAGTAGAGAGATCTAGTCTAACTTAGATTGCAAAAGGCTCATCCAGACTAATGGGGGAGACATTAAGTTTAAGAGAGGAAGCAGGGAGACCCATTTGGAAGGCTACTAGAGCATTCAAGGAAAGAGCATGGTGGGCTGGGCCCAGGTGGCAGCATGGAGAGGTGAATTTAGGGTATATTTTTTAAAGTAGAGAAAACAGTATGTTGATGAATTGTACACGTGTGAGAAAAAGAGTCGTCCTAAGTTCCAACGTTAACTCCAAGGTTTTGGCCCTGATGACAGGACCATTTACTCAGATGAGAAACATTGGGAAAACAGGTGTATATGTGTGAGCGGTGGGAGGTGGTAATCAAGCCTGTGGTTTTCAACATTTTAAGTTTGAAATACCTGACTTCCAAGGGAAGCTGGCAAGTAAACAGTTGGATAGTGAGCCAGGTATTCAGGGGAGACAATGGGGCTGGACATATACATTTTGGATCATGAGCATATAGATGGTATGTAAAGCTATTAGACTGGATGAGAACACTTAGGAAGTGATTGGGGGAAAAAGAGCTCTGAGGAACCTACGCTGGAATACTCCAACAGAGATTATGAAGAGGATCTAGCAAAGGGGCCTCCAGGAGAATAAGCAGTGAGGTAGGAGGAAAACCAGAAGAATGACTCCTAGAGGAGAAATGAAGAAAGTGTTTCGAGGAGAAAGTAATCAAATGTGTCAATGTTGCTGAGAGGTCAAATAAGATGAGGACTGAAAATTGCCCACTGGATGTGGTAACATAGGGATCAATGGTGACCTTGACAAGAGTAAGGTATAAAAGCCTTGGTAGAATGGGCTTGAGAGAGAATGGGGAGTGGAGTAGACACTGTCAGTACAGATGTCACGGTAAAGTTTTGCTGTAAAGAAAAACAGATACAGTAGAGTAGCCGAAGGCAGATGAGAACAAAAACAAAGGCTTTTTTTTCAAGATGTCACCAGCACATATTTGGTAGTGATTTAGTACAGCGAAGAAATGTAAATTATGGAGGTGAAAAGCAATAATTATAGTTCTTCTGTTGGTGAGGATAGAATTGATTTTACAAGTAGAGGGGTTGACCTTAGACGAACCTGCCAACAATATATTCATAAATACAGAAGGTAAGGCAGAGTATGAAGGCAGGCAGAATGCTAAATGTGTGGATGGGAAAATGAGGAAATCCTCTTCTGGGTGATTTTATTTTCTCATTTATATAAGCAGGGTCATCAGCAGAGGGTGAAGAAGGAATATTAATGATTTGGTGAGAGAAGTTAAGGAAAGAGAGCTGAAGAGTAAGTAAATGAGGATAACTGTATTTACTCCGTGGAGTCATGACAATTATATGTCAGTGCAGGGACCCCTTAGAAAAAGTTTAGTGCTCAAATATTATTGCTGACTGGAATAAAAAAAAATGTACACTGCAAATATATTTAGAGAAATGTAATGGCTATCACTTACTAACATCAATAACTTAAAGAGACTAGAGCTGAGTTTAAGCAAATCATACTTGACAAAAGAAATTTTTGAAAAAGAGCCTAAGTTCTAAAATTGTGACTGGCTCTTCCTTATAAATACAACTTACGTTAATTCCTCAATGCAGTGATGGCCCCAAAATTTCTCAAGGACTACTCACATTAAGATCCCTAACCCCTTCTTATATTAACACTCAGTGCCAAAAAAAAAGGAAGTATACTTATTTTCCATCAAAGAATTTTAATTTCAGAACCTATTATCAGTATTGAAATTGTGTCCTTTTCATGCACAGATAACTAGAATACTTACCCTTACTAGATTGTTGTGTGGATTACAAAGCACATGCAAAGTGTCTAGGGTAGTGGCTAGCACAGAGTAAACAATCAACAAATGGTAGCTGCAATATTAGCAGTAGTATTGCTATTAGTATTGATAACACTAATTTTAATTACAAACTTGCCATTTTTCTTAACTCTCACTGGAGGTGAGGTCCTAATTAACCTGGCAAATTCATATATTGGTGACAAAGAAATATTTAAAGAAACATGACACTATAGCTCAAGGACTTCAAACTTACATTAGCTCTAACTATTAGGTTTATCTGGTACATTTAAAAAGTATATAGATGCTTTTCGACTTACAACAGGGTTATATTCCCATAAACCCACTGTAAATTGAAAATGTCGTTAAGCTGAAAATGCATTTAATACACCTACCTTACCAAGTATCATGGCAGCCAAGTCTACCTTAAACATGCTCAACACTTACATTAGCCTACAGTTGGGCAAAACCATCTGGCAACACAAAGTACTAGTTTTTTACCCTGGTGATTGCATGGCTAACTGGGAGTTGTGGCCTACTGCTGCTGCCCAACATCACAAGTACCCTTACTGCTTTCTACTGAATACATAGGGCTTTTGTATCATTACAAAGTTGAAAATCATAAATTGAACCATTACAAGTCAGGGACTATCTGTATCACAAACATAAATGACTTATAGCTAGGTTTTGGATTTTTTTCCCTCTATAATACTCTTTTTTTTTGAGACAGAGTCTCACTCTTTTGACCGGGCTAGAGTGAGTGCCGTGGCATCAGCCTAGCTCACAGCAACCTCAAACTCCTGGGCTCAAGCAATCCTTCTGCCTCAGCCTCCCGAGTAGCTGGGACTACAGGCATGCGCCACCATGCCTGGCTAATTTTTTTTTTCTATATATTTTTAGTTGTCCGATTAATTTCTTTCTATTTTTAGTAGAGACGGGGTCTTGCTCTCACTCAGGCTGGTCTCTAACTCCTGAGCTCAAACAATCCACCCGCCTCGGCCTCCCAGAGTGCTAGGATTACAGGCGTGAGCCACCGCGCCCGGCCCCTCTATAATACTCTTGAATACACATTACCATTTTGTCCAGCAGTGTAATATTTAAAAACATATCATGAATTATGATAAAAATGTTCAACTTAGGAGTTCCTGAAGGTAAAACTCACAAAAGTGTGAGAGTCCTCTTAGAGTTTTTAACTCTCACACTTGTCCACACCCAGCCTACAGCAATTTGTCAATGACAGTTTAGGCATTAGAATCTGTGGGCCTTCTGCTCTGGTAAATTGTGATTCTATTTGCCAGTCTTTCTCACCACTTTTGGGGACAGTGGTTTGCCCTGTGACCTCACAGATCTAAAAAGAGTTGTTGGTTTTTCAGTTTGTTCAGCTTTTACTTGTTAGGACACAGTTGTGACTTCCAAGCTCCTTACATGCTGGACCAGAAACTAGAGATCTATCACTTTTTATCATTGTCTTTGTGAAGATTTTAAACATCTTTTGTTAGATTTATTGCAAGGTACTTTATAATTTATTTCTTAGTGTTGTAAATGACATCCTCTTTAAAATTATATTTTCCAACTCTTTGTGTCTGAACTATTGAAAAACAATTGAATCCCTGTCTTTTCTTATGTGAACAATCATATAAATAACTACATGGATGGAATGTGTAGCAGGCTGAATAATGTTCCCCCAAATACGTCCATGTCCTAATCCCCAAAACTTGTGAATATGTTGTTACCTTAAGGGACAAAACGAATTTTGCAGATGTGAACAAAATTAAGGATTTTGAGATAGGGAGATTTTCCTGGATTATCCAGGTTGGTCCAATGTAATCATAAGGGTCCTTATAAGAGGGAGGAAGGAAAGTCACAGAAGACAATGTGAAAATAGAAACGGAGGTTGAAATGATGTGCTTTGCAGATGAAAGTAGAAGCCACAAGTCAAGGAATACAGGCAGCCTCTAGGAGCAATAAGATTCTCCCCTATAGCCTCCAAAAGGAACACAGCCCTGCCTACACCTTGATTTTAACCCTGTAAGAATAGTTTTGGACTTCTGACCTCCAAAACTGTAAAAGATATATTTGTGGTTTTTTAAGCCAAAAAAGGAGTTCAATTTTTAAAATCCTATAACTACTATAATTCAGTTTCAGACTGTCTTACCAAAAGAAATGATTTAATGTAAGTGAACAGATAAAATGATTTATGAGAGATTCAATCAACGTGCACTAATTCATGTAACTCTGAGCGAAGTCAGGTAGAGGGCTGATAACTATCTGAGTTCCCCAGGAATTCTCAAAAGCAACAGTAGGATCAGTTGGAGAGAAATGACAGAGACCAGTCAATGGACACCTCTCTCGGCCCCTGTATTCTCATTATTCTCAGCCCATTCTTGTATTTTGTAGGGACTCCTGACCAAAATATTCTAGTTTTAGTACTCTTCTGGAAAGTGTGTTGTAAGTTGTCTAAAAATAGCTTATTAACTAAAACAGCACAGGAACATTTAAAACAAAGAGGACTAACATATACTTTCAAAAGTCAAATTCTTATTCCTAACATAAAAATATATATACTCTTAAAGGTTAAAAAGTTATACTCCAACTTCAAAATAACTTTTTTTAAAGACTAAGAAAATGTCTGTGATGCTATCTTTGTACACTTTAGTAATTTCTTCTATATCGATCACATTGTACAATATTGTGTTCCTAGCTTCGAATAAATGCTGCCTAATCAAAGAATACTTGGTCTGTACTCTCTGGGCTGGGGTACGTGGGGAAGCTTTAATTACAATGGCAGCGGCTACCAGCTCAGGTGCAAAGGGGAAGGAGCGATACAGGGAGGCTGGCTGAAGGTCACTGGCTCACGGACACAGGACCTGGACTGGGGGAAGAAGTGGGGAAAACGCCCGGTGGCACCGTCCCGGGGCTGTGGGGGGCGGGCGCAGGGCTGTCGCCGCTCCTTGCACCGCGGAGGCCGGCTAAGGACAGGGCGGGGCGGCCGCTCACTCACCTGGTTGGTTACCTGAAACGGAAGCAGAAAATATCATTTAGGGAAAGATTTTTCTTGCTCCAGAGCCCCGCCGCACCCTCTTTTTCCAGGCCAGGGCTTACCTGAGACTTAGCATCCAACAGCGGCTCGCGACCCCCCTCCATGGCAAGCGTCCAGGGCTCACACCGCGGACTCAAGCGGATGCTCCTCACGACACTTCCTCGCTTCCACTTCCTGCCCCTGGCGGCCTGGCGCACGCAGCGGAGGTAGGGGGCGTCGGAAACAAGCACCTTTGTGTAACCCATCTTTTGTCTCAATTAAACATCAGTTTTAAGCAGTTGCTGAGCAATAGGAGAGGTATTACAGGAGAAAAGGCTGAAGACTTGGGAAATACTTTGTGAAATGAATTACTAATTAAATGTAGGATGCCCCGTCCCCCATCTAAAGCTATAGATGTGGGCTCTTCCAGTCTGGAGCCCACAGCGTCGCTTGTGCGCGAGCGCAAACTTGGGGCTGCGCGATTAATTGATCCTAAGCAAATTTGAAAGCACCTGGACCGCCACACCCCCTCCTCATGGAAGTTTGTCCTGCGAGGGAGATTCCTGTGGGGACGATAGTTATAGGATGAGCTTCCGTCTCTTGGTTTTACTTCAGTGGCCTAGCTGTGTGCGGGGAGAATGCTTTTCTGTGTCCTCGCTGTCACTGTCCTACACCAACCCTCAACCTAACTGCAGCAATACCTTCCCAACTGGTTTTCCCACTTCTCTTCTTGTTAGGTTTGTTCTGCGTGGGAACCCGAAAAATATCATAAAGCCTGTAAAATAAAAGCCGCAGGAGTCTGGAAAGTCCAAGGTCATAAATTTTACTTCGACTACATACAGTTGTAACAACGCTGGCATTTCTTTTTTTCCCTGATAAGGATGAAGTTTATTCCTCTCTCTCCTGATAAGGACTGAAGCTATCCCCTCCCCTATCTCTGCATATGTTACTGACTCCCCCCCACCGCGGAAAAACCCTCTATAAAACCCCAGGTTTTTCCCTCCCTCGGGGTGGAAGCTTTTTCGCCTCCACCCATCTGCACCCAGATGCTCAAAATAAACAGCGTTTTGCTACCCATGAGGCTTCCTGTGTCTCTCTCTCCACTCTGGACCTAACACTCCTATTCACCTCAAATCCATTCTACGCAAATTATCCAGAGTGATATTTTTCCAGCCAACTTTTTATTTTGAAAAACTGGAAGATTTTTTCAGAAAAGTTGTAAAAATAGTTCGATGAACATCCGTATACCCTTCATCTAGATTCACCAACTGTTAACAGTTTACATATTTGCTTTATCTCTGCTTACATACATAATAATTTTGATACTTCACCCCAAATACTTGAGCATGTATCTCCTAAAAACAAGAGCATTCTCTTAAATAACCACAATACAACTTCATACTCAGGAAATTTAACATTGGTGAGATGCTATTATCTAATAAATAGGCCAAATTAAAATTTCCCCAGTTGTTTCAACAATATTCTTTAAAATTATTCCCTACCCCATCCACGACCAAAATCTAATCAAGGATCTTCCTGCATTTAGTGATCATAACTCTTTAGTTTCCTCTAACCTAGAACTGCACTGGTAAAGTATTGGCAGGGCTGTGTTCCTCGCTGGAAGTTCTAGGGGAGAATCTGCTTCCAGGTTCATTCAGGTTGCTGGCAGAACTCAGTTCTATGCAGTTCTCGTTTTCTTGCTGGCTTTTAGATGGGGATACTCAGCTTTTAAAGGCCATCAGCACTTCGTGGCTGTGGCCCCCTCCCTCCATCTTCAAAGCCATCAATGGCAGGTTAAGTCCTCCTCACACTTCGAATTGCTCTGATCTCTCCTGCATCATCTCTTCTTTGCCTTCTTTTGCCACATCTCTCTGACTCCAGCCTGCGAAAGTTCTCTGTTTATAAGGGCTCAAATGATTATTAGATTAGGCATACCCAAATAATTCAGAATAACCTCCCTGTCTTAAGGTACAGAATTTTAATCACATCTGCCAAGTTCCTTCACAGCTGTACCTTGAATAAAAGGGGATGAAAATCTTTGGAGAGGAGCATCTTCAGAATTCTGCTCACTGAAAACACTGCTCATAGGATTCTTGGAGAATTACATTAGTAAATGTATGTTAAGCACCTAAAACTGTCCCTGGCATGTAGGACTCAGAATCTAGGCTAAAAAAAAAAAAAAAACCACTGGCTCAAGGTCATTGGACCTGGGTAAATGTACTAATTATTATAGCTTGGGAACGTAGTCTTTGAATGAATCAGATAATTTCTTTCCTGTGGATGTCTGATGAAAAGATAGAACACTGCTATGCATCGGTTGGTCGGTGCATCAGTTCAATTTGTCAGGAAATCTTTTTCTTTAGCTCTTGGTGCCATCAGATTATGCTCCGTGGGGGCTGGGGATGAATACACACACACACACACACACACACACACACACACCCACACACCTAACTTTGTAAAAATGCTTCAAAAAGGTAAAAAGATACATATATTTTAAAAGTTCATTTTTGTTATTTGTCTGTATTTTTCATGCATTCCTTTTAAAACTGCTTATTCTTCCTGTTATTCAACATGAATAACAGGAATATTCAACATGACCCTTTCCAAAAATCTATCAATATAATTTGGGGAAAGTAAAATGTTAGTAATGTTTAGGGAAATCTCTGCCAATTGTTACTCTTGTTTTTATGCTTCTGGTGCTCCAGCAACACATATTTTTAAGACCTCCATCATTCAAGAAATGAGAACTTACACAAACTTCACACTTGGAAAATATAGATTTTATGAATAGAGTCAAGAAATGTGCTAAAATTAAAAATACATGGGTATAACTTTTGTTTGATTTATATTTATTTTTATAAAATGACATATAAGTAGAACATATAAATCAGAAAATACTTTTGGAACTCTTACAATAAACCGAGTACTGTCATATGCATGGGAGAAAGACCATAGAACTATGGCATGAACTCTGATCCCAGGAGGGTTATAGAGTAATGGAGAAAACAAAATTGACACACATGAAGCATGTAATACTTTGATTTAAACATATATTTTAGGGCTTTTGTGTGCCAAGTGATATGCAGTCATTCCTTGATATACTTGATAGATTGGTTTCCAGGATCTCCACGTGTACCAAAATCCACACATACTTACGTCCTGCAGTCAGCCCTATGGAACCGAAGTATAGGAAAAGTTGGCCCTCCCATGGGTTTTGCATCCCGGAATACTGTATCTTAGATCTGCATTTGGTTGAAAAAAATCCCACCCGCACAGTTCAAACCTCTGTTGTTCAAGGGACAACTCTAATTTGAATTCAAGCTAGCCTAAGCAAAATATTAATAGCATCAGTGATTGTCTCATAGAGGCAGCCTCTGAAATGGAGGGGTGGCATGAGCTGCAGGGTCAATGGAATAGTAAGATTTGAATAACAAAACTGCCCGTTCTCCACTTCTCAGTTGTGGTATGGCCTTCTGCTTGTCTGTTGGCTCCATTTTCTTCAGTTTCTCCATGTTTCTCCATGTTGTTGGAGAGGGGTATGGGTATATAGACATACGACCACTAGCATCTGTAGGATCATTGCCTTATAGCTCATGATCCAAGGGGAAAAAGGAAACTTCTCTTCCATCTTAATTCTCATAGAAAGACTTGGATTGACCTGCTTGGGTCATATGCCCACTCTTTGGACCAATACTGGGTCTAGTGCTTTACTATTTTTGCCCCATGTCCATAAGGGGTAGAATTGTGTGATTGGTGGAGTCACTAGCAACAAAAGGGGTGAAAAGATGTACCTTACAGGACATAGAGGTGAGGATAATGCAAGAAAACTTGAATGAAAAGATGCTAGGGAAACAAAAACAACAAATGTCCATTAATCATATTTACTACACAATATTATACTATACTGGACTATCCTATATAATCAATGGATGAGGTAGACAAAGTGATGACCCTCCAAAGATGTCCACTTCCTAGGGACATTCCCAGAATCTATGAATATGTCATGTTACTTGTCAAACTAACAGAGAGAGGCTTTCTAAAAGAAAGTGATATTTATATAAGCATTGGGCATTGCAGTGGGAATACTTTTGCCATAGTAATAATGTGTGTATTCAGGGAGGTAAAGGAAGACAAAGGTTTTTAAAGGAAAAAATAGAAGGATTACATAATTATTTTGAGATAATTATCCTTGCCTGCAAAGTTGATGCCAGTCAGAGGTTGGACAGGCAGTTGCTGGACAGAACTGTCCTTGCAGAAGTATTTTTTGTGTAAGGTTGTGATGGCCTTCATTCAAGGTTGTGGTTTTGGCAGTCTTTTGTGATAGCTTTTGTTATCAGGCATTTATCCATAAAAGCCCTCTCTTCATGACCTTCCCTATTTGTCAAGGTTTTTTTTTTTTTTTTTTTAAACACAAGTGACTCTATTTTGATTCTGAACAACTTTCATATTTCCATGGCAAGGGAGAATTAAGTTTGCTAATTGGCTGACTTTACAAAAAGGAAATTTTTTTGTATTACTCAGGTGAGTCCAATGTGATGACAAGGGTCCTTAAATGTGGAAGATGAAGGCAGAGGAGTTAAAAGTCAGAGAGTGTCAGAGTGATAGATACCATGGGAAAAAGACTCATCCAGCCTTTACAGGCTTTGAAGATAGAAGGGGACCAAGTTGGGCTGTCTCTAGAAGCTGGACTAGGAAAGAAAATGGACTCTCCCATGTATTTCCTCCATAGGTTCCAGAAGGAGCACAGCCCTGACAACACTTTGATTTTAGCCCAGTGAGACCCATTTCAGACTACTGACCTTCAGACTGTAACATAATAAGTTTATGTCATTTTAAGCCATTAAATTTGTAGCAATTTGTGACAGCTGCAGTAAGAAACCAATATAGTGGAGGATAACAATGAAGTGCTGGGGTTTTTGCACTCACACAGGCCTAAATCTAAATCCCTCTTCTACCACTCAGCTGTGTGGCTTCAGTAAAGTTACCTTTTCTAAGCATGAGCTTTCTTATCTGTAAAAATAGGCCTATCAATATTTGTCTCACAAGGTTTTTGTTTTTTGTTTTTTGTTTTTCTGAGATAGGGTCTTGCTCTGTTGCCTAGGCTAGAGTGCAGTGGTGTCATCATAACTCATTGCAACCTCAAATTCCTAGGCCCAAGCG